AATACAGAAGAGCCAACTGTTGCCACTTTAATCATTGACCGAGCTGTCATGCTTCAGAAGTTGAAACTTGTTACTGTCAAAACATTTGATTAATACGTCTTCACCTGTCCCGGGAATTGCAGTCATCATGAAACCGATATTCACATCATACTTCATGTTGATCATGCTGCAAAACATGACCATGAAAAGATTATGTTACGAAAAGTAGCTGCAGATGTTGTAGTGCTTGCAGTGACGCTCAGAACATGCCATCCCACCAACGCATGCAGCTCTTGTACAGCATGTAAAAAACAGCTTACCAGGCAGGACAAGGTTTAAAGCCACGCTCGGCTACATGATGGCATCAAGTTTCCAGTTGTATCACAGCATCCCATAAATAATCAAGTTTTTTGCACATCGGTGGAAGAGATCATCAAATACACTACGTGCATCAGTCCTAAAACAAGGTCAGCACTCGTGATCAGCACTCGAGTGACCAGAAATATCTTCAGGCAACTTTGTACACTTGTCTGAAGCCAGAGTCAAGTAGAAAAAACATTCGGTCCACTTACAGTACAACCAGAAATTATAGAGAATCTAAAGATTGTAATATTTATATTTTTTTCATTCATTACTCACGTATTAAATGTGAAAATTAGCAGAACATAACTCCAGATTCAAAGACAGGTGAACAGTTAGTATTTTGTCAAGTCACCATGGGCAGCAATGCAGGCTTCAATGCGGCGGGGCATACTACTGATCAAAGAAGTTAGAAAGTTGTGGCCCATGCTGTCCCAATATCGGACCACCTCTTCTTTCATTTCAGCAATATTTGTCAGATTTTTCTTATTGACACTTTCCTTCATAAGTCCCCAAACATTTTCTATGGATTTAGGTCAGGGCTATAGCTTGGCCAATCTAATAATGTCATATTTTGGGTCCGAAACCAGGCCTGTGAATGCTTTGAACGATGTTTTGGGTCGTTGTCCTGCTGGAAAATCCAAAAATTCCATAGAACACGTGAGCAGATGGAAGTAACTGTCCCTTGAGAATATCTGTGTACCGCTCACTGTTCATATTCTCTTCAAATACACAGAGGGGCGTTGCCCCTAACACAGATATGCCACCCCACACGTTAAATTTCGGTCTGTACTTTGGGCGCTGATACAAAAGTTTTTCAGTTTGTTTGGTCCAGAATTTCATTGTATTAGGAAACAGCCACACAGAACTTTCATCTGAGAAAATCACATTGTCCCAGTTAATTTCTATGCTGTAAGCACCAGTTCGACCTTCGCTCCTTTTGTTCAGGTTTCATGATCGGTGATGGAATTTCTCGACTTTTCTGCCAACCCATTGCATGCAGCTTAGTTCTAATTGTCTCCTTACAGACAGACACAGTTCCTCTATCAATCATATCCAGCCTTAAGTTTTCTAAACTCCTTCGTTTGTTTTTAGAAACAAGAATACCAAGCTGCCTCCTGTCACCGACAGTCAATTTTCTGGGCCTACCTGCGCCTCCTTGGTGCTCAGTGCCATATCCATTTGCAATATTTTTCAAAACACGATAAACAGTGGACAAAGGGATGCCTGTTCTACTTGAAATCACTTTAGCTGATCTGATGTCCTTGTTATAATACTCTAAAATCAACTTCCTCTTCTCCAAATTATCCATACTGAGGATCACTGAAAATGTCGTCTGCTAGCAAGTATACAAAGGGGGATAACTCTTCACAAACTAATGAAAAAGGATTAACGGAGTTGTCTCTCTTGAATGAAACCAAGCACTTGATAGCTGGTCAAGGTTGTTTATACTAGATATCCAATTAAACATTTTCCTAAAATTCTCAATAATTTCTGGTCATACTATATATTGGGTAAGTCACTTCTTCCACTCCCTTACCTCTGGATACAGCAGGAAAGTGGTAAATATGTTCCCTAATGGACGACACTTCACCACGCATCAACGTCTTGTCGGGAGGTGGTCTCTTGTTCCTGCAGAAGGGATGTAACAACATATGCAAGTGCAAACAGTCCTCACTTAAATCAGTGTATGAAATAAGGCTCGTCCGACCGTCCGAGACGGGCTAGATTTCTAATTTACAGTTAGCCAGACAGATGGTCTGGTAAAAGTTTTTAGAAAACATGACATGTTCCATAACATGACATGTTCCCCATGTGAGTAATTTTCTTTGGATTGTCTGGTCTGGTTAAATCCATTTGGGGCTGGTAATATTTTGAAGTTTTGTCTGGCTGGGTTTTTGGCTTATTTCATACACTGCTTAAATACACTGGGCTCTCTTGACATTTAACCAGGATATGTGCGTAATTATAATGCATCCACATTTCCCTGTAATGCATTGGTGGCCTTTCCAAAGCTAAAACCGTAGCGAGAAAAGTAAAGTTGTATTTACCTTCTGCAAACGCCCTTGAAGATGCGAGTTTGAATTGGTCTTTTGGAATCCATGCTTGTAGTAAGAGGCGACTAATTGGATCGGGTGGTCACCCACGCTGACATTCTTCATGCAATCCACAGCAATCTACGGGGAGTGAGGGATGGGGATGGGGTGTCACACTCTTGAGAAAGGGAGGTTGCACACTTCATTTTCACCCGTTTTCAATGGTCATTTAAAAAACTTTCAGGACCCCCCCCTTCAGGATCCACCTATGATTCTACTTTAGGCTTGCCATGGTATATGTGTGAAGGCTCGTTTGTGTAACTAGATGGTGTGTGGGAGGCTGATATCAAATTTTAGACCCATGAAGATTCGGGTGAGACAACAGGATGGGTGCACGTGGTCAGGCTCGCTGACTACGTTGACATATGTCATCGTATCCCAACTGCGTAGATCGTGCTCATGCTGTCGATCACTTGATTGTCTGGTCCAGAGTCGACTATTTACAAACCACTTCCATAGAGCAGGAGGAAGCAGGAATATTGCTGAGTGCGGCGTAAACAACAAACAAACCTTCAATCTGCGCATGCGCAAAATGAAATTATTTTGAGTGCCTCCATATCTGAAAATGATTACTATGCATCAGTCAATAAATGTGCAAAGTTCCAAATCTCAATGCAAGTTCAATGCAGGAAAATATATTCCTCCCATAAGACTCATCTTACCGACCAACTGCCAATCATATATGGCATACCCAATTACCCATAGTATACCTGGTATATACGATGCTCAAAGACATGAGATATCATGCTCCAAACCTCAGACCCGTGAAGATCCGGGGTAGAATAGGTCTTCAGCAACCCATTCTTGTCATAAAAGGCGACTATGCTTGTCGTAAAAGGCGACTAACGGGATCGGGTGGTCAGGCTCGCTGACTTGGTTGACACATGTCATCGGTTCCCAATTGCGCAGATCGATGCTCATGCTGTTGATCACTGGATTGTCTGGTCCAGACTCGATTATTTACAAACCGCCGCCATATAGCTGGAATATTGCTGAGTGCGGCGTAAACCTAAACTCACTCCTCACTCCAAACCTCAATGCAAGTTCAATGCCGGAAAATTTATTCGTCTCATCAGACTTGTCTAACCAACCAACTACCGTGGTTGTTTTCATGGTATATACGATGTTCAGAGACATTGTATTTACGAGTGAGTGAGTGAGTTTAGTTTTACGCCGCTTTTAGCAATATTCCAGCAACATCACGACGGGGGACACCAGAAATGGGCTTCACACATTGTACCCATGTGGGCAATCGGACCCGGGTCTTTGGCGTGACGAGCCCACGCTTTAACCACTAGGCTACCCCACGGCCCCTGGTATATACGATGTTCAGAGACATGATATATACAATGTTCAGAGACAATGTCATGGTATACGATGTTCAAAACGCCCGAGTCATAGGTGATCAAGGGCAAATACCCCCACAACTAATTGCAGTAGGAGTTAAATACCCAATCCCAGCGTCTCTCTGCAGCCATTATTTGAACTGCACATATTAGTGAAGCGGCTAAGATCAAGTTTCCATTAAAAAATGTGCATTTAATGATAAAAGCACAAAAGTTAGTCATCATTTTCAAAAACATTTCTGAAATAATTTCATATATGGAGGATCATATTTTTATAGGTGATAAAGGGCAAATACCCCCACAACTGATTGCAGTGGGAGTTAAATATCCAATCATTGGGCCTCTCTGTAGCCATTATTTGAACTGCACCTTTACCTGATACCCCTTCAACTGTCGGGTACTGCCTGGGGTCAAATCAGCCCCCGACACCCCAAGTGGGACACACAAACACCGTTAATTGCAGCTTTGTATCAATAGTTTATACACAGTATATAGAGGGTATGTCAAGTTTACTGGTGCGCTGCGCATTCAGTGCAAGAAATCGATCTGTATTAATCGATCAGCTCAATCGATGTGACTGGGAGTAATAATGAAGTAATTTACAAGAGCGCTCGCGCGTGTAGTGAGTTTCAACATAAGTGTATCCATTGTTCGGTCTTGCGGAATTGATTGATTCTGTTATCGTCCAATCACGTACCTCCGAATACCAACCAGCGAGTGGTAAGGTGAAACATTTAACATTATATCGTTTGGTTTAAAAATAACATACTTCTGTTTCAATTTGGAAAAATTTACTGGTGATACAAACTTACAAATCAATTGTTTATTGTATGTATCTATGTCTTTGATTTGTTTTCTCAGTTATGTGAGATCGGCATAATATTGTTGAGAACGGAATTCTAACAGTTAACCACTATGTCATGCATACATAGAAATGGACGGGTTAAATAAAGTGTAAATAACGGACTATTTACTATACTATTTAGTAAACGTATTACCGCAAACGATAAATACCCTAAAATAAACTATAAATTTGTGTATTTATACGTTCATTTTAAAACTATTGTAATATTCTAAACTATTCACTAAAAAATATAGTGAATTAACTATGAAAGGTCCACAATTTCGTCACACGATTTGACTGCCACGCCCACTGAATTGTTTTCCGGAAGTCATGGTAACCGTAGATTTGTCCCCCTTTTGTTGACGGAAGTTGATCCCTTGTGGCGTCATGTGTTGTCTTCACCATTAGCCTGAAACAATCGACCTGCCGTAAACACGACAACCTGTCAGTGTCGCAACATCTGTGAAGGAATACAGTTTGGAGTTACCACAGTTGCGAGAGGAGGTATTTCTCAACCAGGAGAAGATAATTACAATTTGCCAAGAAACAAAAGCGGGAGGCTGACAGACACGGCGCGCACTTGTCAAGACAATCATGGCGGAGAACGTTCGGGTAGCCGTACGGGTCAGGCCTTTTATATCCTTTGCTATTGTACGGCTTTTGTTGTCGTTCTTTGTAAGCAACACGAAGTAACAGTTCACGATTTACCTGTGTCTGCTTTGTCAATGACTTATTTATTTCCCTGTTAGACTAAAATGTTTGACGTATGTTTATGTGCTTGAATAGCGTTATACAATGACTCGTCGTTTTGTCATCACGTTTATATAAGTACTTATGCTCTATTTTTGGAAATTTAAAATAATCGAAATAATATTTTATTGTTTTAATTATGCTTATATTTCAGTGCCGTGTTTGAATGTAGATACAGTACAAGCAATGATATTTAGCCTATAGGCTAGAATAATTTCTCAATAACGTTCATGGTAGAGTTTATTGCTATGGGTGATGTTTGTTTTTGTGTTGGGTCTCTTATGTAAAGATAAAGTGGAGTGGGGCGTGTTTGCATTATGTCTGTAATAAGCAGTGTATGTAAATACAGTTTTCATTTAGAAATACATGAACTCCCTTGTAAACATCATTTAAACGAACCCCCCAAGAAGACGTTATAAAATTAAAACTTTCCAGGTAGAAAATCTTTTGTTGTTGGGTTTTGTGACCTGACTAAATTCTAAATTATTGTGTTAAGTTTGCACAATATATATGTCTCTGTGAGTGCTTATTGTGAGTGTCAGCAATATTTCAGCTCTATTAGGACGGCCTGTAAACATTACCAGGGACACACATCATGTAAAAAACTTAAGTGTCGCTTTTATTTAAAGGGTTTAGATCTTAAAACTGTACTGGCTGCTGAACAGTTATCGCCATATTTTAGCGATATTTACAAAATTACTCCGCCATTCGTTAAATTAATGAAACATAAATAATTATGATACTTAATTAGCTATTCACCTCTGTGTCCAGCCCGTTCACTGCCGCCGATCATGTTTGTATAATATATAATGCGGCGGAAGGGAATCATGGCAGTACAAATAGGTGTTTTCTCGCAGCTAGCTGTAACAGTTATCACCATTTCAGAATTTTTCATGTCATTCGTGAAATAATGTAGTAGATTTATATCATAAAATAACCTCGAATAATTTACTAGTGAATAGCTGAGTGTTTTTTACAGTAGATTGATAGGGAATGAAACAATTAATGACTTTTGTGAACTTGAACTTGCTATTATATAGATCGTGTAACATCCCCCTGACTAAGTTAGTTTTTTTATAGGGTTCCCAACTTTATCATTAATTTTTCTCTTATGTTACTTACCGTGAAGAATTTTCTTTTGCTGTCCTTTATTTTTGTCAAATACTGTGGGAAAAATACCCGAAGTGTAAGCATGGTAAGTGACCGGAACTGCGTGTGATATGGATGTATTGGCGATAACTGTTACATGGCGGTATCTGTTAGGCAGCCAGTACCATGTGGAAATACAACATAAACATCTGATTTTATTCCCCAGTCAATATTAAAAAACTCAGAAAGATATTTTTTTGTTTTGATTGGAAAAGATATGATGTTGAACTCGTTTATTATACACTGTGTGTTTTGAAATATCTTGTAAACAAAATATTGTTGTTTGGAGGGGTCTTCACATTGTATTGTGTCTGTTGACTAATCCACTTTTCAGAATACAGTGTATGGAAAAAAAATCTTTTAGAACAAGTCACAGATGAAGAATATGGCAACAATTGTTTGATGTCTCTAGTCACATGTACATGAACTATTAATGTCTAGACTTTAACAGGGAAGGGGGACTAGATATAATAGTATCTCTTGTATCTGGTTTAAACATATTTTAATTCAAATTAAATTGAATAAGGATCGGTGAACAAGCTGTAAGCATCTCTTGTATCTCTCAGGTGGTCACTTGTACGTGTAACGGGGGACTGTCTCGCGTACATGTTACGTCCTCTACTGGTAACAGCAGATACATTCACAAACCTTCATCAACCCCTGGATCTCTTCCCAAGGTTCATCAACCTTTACTGACCAAACGAGTATTAGATAAGGCCAAATAAAAAAATGTTGTGGTTCTGTTTACACCTCTTTAAAATTTAAGATAGGTAGGCAGGATTTTTCTTTCTACATTTTTTTAGAAGTAAAGTACAAACTCATAACACATTTATCAATGTAATTGTTTATTTAATAAAGCTTGCTACCATCATGTCGACTTTCTCTATCAGAATGACCAATGTCCGTTGGTGCTGGGAAAATACAATGGTATCTGAAAGCTTATTTTAGTCATACTGCTTAAACAATATAGGGTTGGCACCAGAATTCAAGGGTCGATTGGGTAATCGGAACCCCAACAATTTTTTTAGGCCTAAGGCAAAAGGCATAGGTAAGGGAGGTACTTAAGTTTGCCTACAAACTAGTGTTGGGAATTGGTTAAACTCTCATAATGGATGATTGGTTCATTACAACCGATCAATCATGGAAAATAATTGGTTAGTGCCATTTATAAAATTTTCCTGTTATGGTTGTTAATACACACACAAAAAAACCCGAAAACAATACGTTGTTAATTTGTTTTTGTTTTCCTTGTAAATTGCACAAAATGCCTTTGCAAATTTCACATCTTTGGAGGATGAATAGTATGTTGGGAACATAAATTTCCAGGAGTCTTTAAGAGAACTTCAATCATGACTTGGAACGAGCTTGTAGTGCCTATGAAATGTAAATTTAATGACAGACAAAACATCCTTGTGAAAAATGTTGTCCATAAAACTTGTTCTATATTGAAAAATATTGTTCATGCAAACAAGTGTTCCAAAATTGTTTGTGTTCGATTATGAGAAAACATGATCAATTGCTTGGTTGTTTAGTCACAGTCACCAATCATCGATATTCCAATTAATCCGACCACCACTACTACAAACCACAGAAACAGTTAGTTTTTGTGGCCATGGACACATCCTTTTCAGCACAAAGATTTTTAGGGCTTTCTTTTCTCAGTCAGTATTTCGATGCCAATTTCTCTCAAACTCTATCGTATTCAATGGGACTGACTGCAATATTGTTGATCAAACTGGCTAACTACAATCAAGGTCAGTTGTTTAGAGATTGCGAGAACTACGGGATTGGATCCAGGGAATAGTGTAGGTTTACCATAGTGGAATAAAATTTAATTTAACATGTTAAACAGTTAAAAGAAAGAATTCTCTTATATTTTGTGTGAAAAGTTCCATGTTTCAAACGATGAACTTAACAATGATTAATATAGAAAAAAACCCAACAAATATTATCTTTTATGTGCCTGATCATCATCATGACAACATTTTAATATATTTTCATTGATGTCAGTGATGAAGGAACACTATTCGATCATGTCTAAGCAAGCTAAGCACATAGGCCACAATACAATGATTGTTTTCCTTGACGATGTCCACAACTCGCGTGAGACGGCCAGGAAGGCTAGCGTCATTATCAAGATGACTGGTACTCAGACCGAGATCACAGACCCAGAAAATACCAAGGAAAAGCCCAAGAAGTTTGCCTTTGATTTCTCATACTGGTCCCATGATGGATACTCAGAGAGGGACGATGGATACTTGGAGCCCAGCTCGTCCACGTATGCTGACCAGGTAGGCAGCTGTCTGTACCTCTGCGCAATATGTTTTCAGAATACTCATTGCTGTCCATAATTGATGAATAATTGGCTTAATGAGTTCTTGAAAGAGTATCTTTGAAATAGTAGATTGCAGGGGTGGAAATAACCCATTGCCCAACGCCCGAGTCCAGTGTTTTTTTCTGTCGGCCAAGCAAATTTGTATATCACACTGTACTGGTGTCCAGTTGACTTTCCAATATTAATTATGTTGATTATTTAAAATATCAACAAGAAAACGGTCGGTATAGTGGAAAAATTATCGGGGCAAGTGATTTTACATGTGCCACTGTACCGGAGTACACTAGCAGTTTTAAAGATATTTCCACCCCAGGATTGTGTACAGTACACACAGGTGACTTGTTGTTCTTGAAAGGCATTTAGAAGTTGGACGAACATGAATACATGACGAGTTTTATGGATAACAACTTCTTCTTTATCACACAGTTTCTGTGCTAATTCTTGTTCCTTCATTAGGTGAATGATCATAACCAGAATTATCTCTGAAACATCGCGATAAATGAATAATAAAAATATGATAAGACGTTGTTATACACAAAATGTGTCATGTATTCAGGTGACTTGTTGGTGCCGTTTTGGTTGGAGCCCTGTCTTGGATTAAACCCACATTTTCAGAGTAAGACAGTGGTCCACTGGGATCAGGCCACTGACTTTGTGTGCTCCCTTTTCAGTGCCTTACTGTAGAGTGTGGGTTTGAATCCCGGATGGGACTTCACACAAAGTAGTCCAAGAATTTCTACTTTTGCCAAATTGTGTCCTCAGACAAGTCACTTCTGGTTTAGGTATTACATGTACCCATTTTTTTCAAATCCGGGATCCACCTCTGTTCCTGCCCTACTTTTGGAAGGGCTTAGTATTGTTTTGGGTCTTACTTTCAAACACCTTGACATTTGTGGGAACCCTGGTAGCTTTGTGTGTTAGATTGCAGACTTCGCATGTTGATGATTTGGCTCCTCATGTTTAGAGTGTGGGTTCGTATCCTGGATGAGACTGAGCCTCTACTAGCGTCAATACTTTGCTTTGGACTGAGAAGGTGTAATCCCAAATAAAACATTTGACCACTTTCTGAAAAAAAATGCATGTTACCGGGGTTACTGTGAACATGGTTAAGAAATGGTGATTGTCAATGTGTACAGTTGTTCTCAGTGTACCAGACAGGGGCGTAGCTACCATTATAAAAATATAGCCCGGGCTTATGCATGATTATTGCTAAAAAAGGTTGGGCAAGCCTTCAATATTATAATATGAAGCTTTGCAACGTATTGGCTTACTCGAAAAAAATGGCTTGCTACATGCCTGCCAGGAATCAGTTTTCCATGTTTGTCTGTGTGTCCGCAGAAAGTTGTGTTTGACGACCTGGGAAAGGGGGTGCTGGACAATGCCTGGAAGGGCTACAACTGCTCCCTCTTCGCGTATGGTCAGACTGGCAGCGGCAAGTCATACTCCATGGTGGGCTATGGCACCAACAAGGGGATTGTCCCCCTTGCCTGTGAGGACCTGTTCCGTGGCATCAACGAGAAGAAGACAACAGCCAAGGAGGGGGAAGAATATCAGGTGAGCTTGTCAATAGTCTCACTGTTTCATCACAGTTCTCACAGCTTGTATTGTTATGTTCATTCTAAGTAGTAAACAGCAGTTTGAGTATTCAATATATCCAAGGGATTTACATAGAACTAAAACAGCATCATTATGAACAATAAATCATCAACACACGTCATATTTAGATTTATACAAGGGCCAAGATCAAAATCTTGGAATAAAAGTCCTTGTGTGTAAAAGTGTCAGAAACTATTACCTTGATGATGATTCTGTAGATGATGGTGATGATCATGATAGTGGTGATGGTGTGGTTGTGATGTAGATGATGATATTGACAATTGGAATGATAATTGAAGTAGTGGTTTTGGTGGTGATGATTTTATTATTAGTGATGATGATGATGATGATGATGATGACGACGACAGTGATGATGTTGGTGGTGGTGGTGATGATGATGATGATGATGATGATGATGACGACGGTGATGATGATGATGTTTGTGTGGTGGTGGTGATGATGATGATGATGATGATGATGTCGACGGTGATGATGATGTTTGTGGTGGTGGTGGTGATGATGATGATGATGGTGGTGACGACGGTGATGATGATGATGTTTGTGGTGGTGGTGGTGGTGATGATGATGATGCGATGGATGCGATGATGATGTTTGTGGTGGTGGTGGTGATGATGATGACGATGATGATGATGTTTGTGGTGGTGGTGATGATGATGATGATGACAACGGCGACGATGATGACGATGATGATGATGTTTGTGGTGGTGATGATGATGATGATGACAACAACGATGATGATGATTTGTGGTGGTGGTGGATGATGATGATGATGATGATGGCGATGATGATGGCGATGATGTTTGTGGTGGTGGTGGTGGTGATGATGATGATGATGACGATGATGATGATGTTTGTGGTGGTGGTGATGATGATGATGATGACAACGACGATGACGATGATGATGTTTGTGGTGGTGGTGATGATGATGATGATGATGATGATGATGATGATGATGATGATGATGACAACGACGATGATGATGATGTTTGTGGTGGTGGTGATGATGATGACAACGACGATGACGACGATGATGTTTGTGGTGGTGGTGATGATGGTGAGGAAACGATGGTAATTGTGGTATGGTTCTGTCTGCAGGTGAAGCTGAGCATGCTGGAGATCTACAATGAGCAAGTTAGGGACCTCCTCAATCTCAAATCATCACAGAAAGGAGGTCTCAAAGTTCGACAGCACCCTTCCAAGGGATTCTATGGTAAAACATTCAAACAGTAGTTATGTATTATGAACCTTACGTACCCGGCCCACACTAAAATGATATGAATAGGAAAGTAAGGGCACAACAGGTGACCAAAACCTTGATCAGTATTAGTAGTTTTACAGACAGTAGCATGTGAGGACTAGCATAGTTGCAGGAACAACCCACAGTATTTGTGTCACTGATAGACTCACATTCACACATTTACACTCACATTTAGTGTGTCACATTGACCTAGTCTAGAGAAATTATAAGGAGTCATGTGACAATCTTTGATAGCTTCATTGTAGATTGCTGAATGTTATCAGTGACTTGCATCGACATCATCAAGTCATAACGAGGACAGTAAATGCTAAATATGTAGCAATACCAAATGTTTCATTTTTGTGAATGATTATTTTTTCCCAAAGACATGAACCGTCCTATTAAAATACTAATTTGTGGTTCACCTAGACATTTTGTTGCCAGTTCCACCTTGACCTTGTGTTGTCGGTTTCACCTTGACCTTGTGTTGTCGGTTTCACCTTGACCTTGTGTTGTCGGTTTCACCTTGACCTTGTGTTGTCTGTTTCACTTTTACCTTGTTATATGTTTCACCTTGACCTTGTGTTATCTGTTTCACCTTGACCTTGTGTTGTCTGTTTCACCTTGACCTTGTGTTGTCTGTTTCACCTTGACCTTGTGTTGTCTGTTTCACTTTTACCTTGTGTTATATGTTTCACCTTGACCTTGTGTTGTCTGTTTCACCTTGACCTTGTGTTGTCTGTTTCACTTTTACCTTGTGTTATGTTTCACCTTGACCTTGTGTTGTCTGTTTCACCTTGACCTTGTGTTGTCTGTTTCACTTTTACCTTGTGTTATATGTTTCACCTTGACCTTGTGTTGTCTGTTTCACCTTGACCTTGTGTTATATGTTTCACCTTGACCTTGTGTTGTCTGTTTCACCTTGACCTTGTGTTGCCTGTTTCACTTTTACCTTGTGTTATATGTTTCACCTTGACATTGTGTCATCTATTTCACCTTGACCTTGTGTTGTATGTTTCAGTGGACACACTTACCTCCTGGCCTGTGGACAGTTACATGGCGATTGACAACAAGATCAACGAGGGAACAAGAAACAGGACAGTTGCCTCTACCAACATGAACGCCACCAGCAGGTGAGCTACTGAACATTTTCACTGTTTGTGTCTTTGTTGCTTGTATATATATTAGTGCGGACTGAAGCTCAGAATATCATTAACGTGGATTTGTTTTTGAAATTACAACACTCCTTGACTGATATCGGCTATATTCAGAATTTGTCACAAACTGAAAGTAAATAACACACTCTAACATCACTAATTCCATATCTGCATGTTTAGTGTCAACTTTTTTAAATGTATACAATGCCGTCCGGTAATTCCGCGCACATAAGCACATCGATCGCAATACGGCAACTAACGTCTCTTATTTTCCGTGGTTTACGTGACTAAACATGCTGGTATGCATCACATTTACCTAGAATATAAGTTTTATTGACGACTATAAGATTTTATACGATTCTAAGATGCGCATAACATCCGGCTGGAGATCCGAAGTATGGAAGCGTATTAGGGCCAGATTATTTTCAAAAATCACTTCATCAATGTAAGGAAGAGTGTTTCATATTAAATCCAATTCTGAATAATCAAGAAAAAGGTTTAAAAGTCTGAAGAAAACGAATTTTCATAAAACTGTCAATTTATCTGACAATTATTGTTATTTACTTACCTTTAGTGATTAAAAGCCAGTCCCTTGTAGAAATGTCCAGATTTCAAGCGTAAATGTGGTAGCAGACGATATTTACCTTCGGAAGTACGTTATTGTAGCTACGCAGAATTACCGGATGGGCGGAATTACCGGACTCGCTTGTAATACTTAAGGTGTATGGCAGGTCAATACACAGGGATAAATCCACTGCATCATCAGATTTGCCTCAGACTTGGGGCAGAATATTGGCCTCTGAGAGGGTCTAGATAAATCCTCAAGTACTGTATATTACAAAAATATGGTTCATTGAAACAAAGATGAATTTTTATGTGTGGATAATGAATATTTTTATGAAAGGTTAGACACTGTATCATGACAATGCTGTTATTTTTTAATCCAGTCGAGCCCATACAATTGTGGCGGTCACATTTGTGCAGAAGACACTGAACGAAGCGAACCAGAATATGACGAAGACATCCATTATCAACTTGGTGGATCTGGCTGGCAGGTGTGTACATGGTGGATGGTGAAGTGTTATTTGTCTCTATCGTGGTGTAATGGATAGGGTGTTGGACCGGAGAGATCAGTGGTTTGATCCTAGGCAATGTAATAACAGAGGATGTTAAAAACGCTACTTGCTGTTACACTTCCTGGGGATAGTGTTTAATCCTACAGTAAGCATGTGGAGAGCACTTTCGTTTCTTGTACTGTGCTTAATCCTACATAAGCACATGGAGAGCACTTGTGTTTCTCGTATTGTGCTTATTCCTACAGTAAGCACATGGAGAGCCCTTGCATTTCTTGTATTGTGCTTAATGCTACAGTAAGCACATGGAGAGCCCTTGCATTTCTTGTATTGTGCTTAATCCTACAGTAAGCACATGGAGAGCCCTTGCATTTCTTGTATTGTGCTTAATCCTACAGTAAGCACATGGAGAGCCCTTGCATTTCTTGTATTGTGCTTAATCCTACAGTAAGCACGTGGAGAGCACTTGTGTTTCTTGTATTGTGCTTAATCCTACAGTAAGCACATGGAGAGCACTTGTGTTTCTTGTATTGTGCTTAATGCTACAGTAAGCACATGGAGAGCACTTGTGTTTCTCGTATTGTGCTTATTCCTACAGTAAGCACATGGAGAGCCCTTGCATTTCTTGTATTGTGCTTAATCCTACAGTAAGCACATGGAGAGCACTTGTGTTTCTTGTATTGTGCTTAATCCTACAGTAAGCACATGGAGAGCATTTCTTGTGTTTCTTGAGCCCTTTCTTGTATGCATTGTGCTTAATCCTACAGTAAGCACATGGAGAGCACTTGTGTTTCTTGTATTGTGCTTATTCCTACAGTAAGCACATGGAGAGCCCTTGCATTTCTTGTATTGTGCTTAATCCTACAGTAAGCACATGGAGAGCACTTGTGTTTCTTGTATTGTGCTTAATCCTACAGTAAGCACATGGAGAGCACTTGCATTTCTTGTATTGTGCTTAATCCTACAGTAAGCACATGGAGAGCACTTGTGTTTCTTGTATTGTGCTTAATCCTACAGTAAGCACATGGAGAGCACTTGTGTTTCTTGTATTGTGCTTAATCCTACAGTAAGCACATGGAGAGCACTTGTGTTTCACGTAGTGTGCTTAATCCTACAGTAAGCACATGGAGAGCCCTTGCATTTCTTGTATTGTGCTTAATCCTACAGTAAGCACATGGAGAGCACTTGTGTTTCACGTAGTGTGCTTAATCCTACAGTAAGCACATGGAGAGCACTTGTGTTTCTTGTATTGTTTCTTGTATTGTGCTTAATCCTACAGTAAAAAGAGTGCACTTGTATATCACGTCTTGTGCTTTATCCTACAGTGAGAGGGCAGAGAGCACTGGGGCCACAGGAGATCGGTTGAAGGAGGGGTCGGCCATCAACCAGTCACTCAGTACACTCGGCAACTGCATCAAGGCCCTAGCTGACCTGTCCATGGGCAAGAAGAAAACTGTGGGTCAGTCTATGTTATAGTGTTCCATGGGTCAATGTTGGCCTTGATTCATCCTTGACAAGAGGGCACTGGGGGGCTTAGTGTCTTTGTGAAGACAACAGGTTTGATAATAATTAATGATGGTCATTATGAAGGTTGCGGCTAGTTTGTTGTTTGTAAAATTTGGGGGCTTTTGTCAATAGTGAATATAATCTTAGCTTCGTAGTAAAATGTCATGCAATGGATTTCTGCATCATATTATGAAGCAAATAATCGCAAACTGAAATCTAAAATATTCAAAATCATGTTCAAACTTTGATCTGATTGTTGTGTTGTTTCATTAGATCTAGTTATATACAACTTTTATGAGATTTTAGCTTAATCATGATAAACAGTAAAGTTTTGTTTTACGGCAAGCTGATTTTAGCGACCATTTTATGATGTATTTCTCTTTGTAGTTCCGTTCCGAGACTCAGTTCTGACGAAACTGCTCCAGAATGCTCTGGGTGGCAACAGCAAAACCATCATGGTAAGTGTACAATTACTGCACATGGTGACTGTGCTGTCTCCCAGCAGATGCCCGCAGAGGGGAAGGGCGGTGTTTTGATTCCTGGTGCCACATAATAAATAATGTGTCAGAGTGGGGTGTTTGTGTTAAACTTTGGTGTGGTATTTCTGTTGTGTAGCACTGTTAACACTATTGGACAGACATATACATGACATAGACAGGCAGACAGACTGACAGACACAGACAGACAGACAGACAAATACATCGATAGACAGAAAGACAGAAACCGACAAATACACAGAGACATAGACAGACCGACACATAGACAGACCGACACACTACCACACAGACAGACACATAGACAGACAGGCAGACTACCAGACAGAAAGACAGACACACAGACAGACAGATACACAGACATGCAGATACACAGACACATAGATAGACCGATCGACTGACAGACTACCAGACAGACAGACAGATACACAGACAGACACATAGACAGACTACCAGACAGACAGACAGATACACAGACAGACAGACAAACAGACAGACACACAGACAGATACACAGACAGACACATAGATAGACCGACCGACCGACAGACTATCAGACAGACAGATACACAGACAGACAGATACACAGACAGACACATAGACAGACTACCAGACAGACAGACAGATACACAGACAGACAGGCAGATACACAGACAGACACATAGACAGACAGACCGACCGACAGACTACCAGACAGACAGACAGATACACAGACAGACACACAGACAGACACATAGACAGACCGACCAACCGACAGACTACCAGACAGACAGATACACAGACAGACAGATACACAGACAGACACACAGACACACAGACAGGCAGATACACAGACAGACAGATATACAGACAGACAGTCTGCTGTACAACACTGATTAATACATTGTGTGTCACTCCTGTAGATCGCTGCCTTGAGTCCCGCTGACATCAACTATGAAGAGACACTTTCAACTTTAAGATTTGGTAAGATCTGTTTCCTTGTTTCTTCAACGTCAAAATAAGCGGCTTGAAAATAGTGGGATCAGTTGACCTACCTAGCAGGTACAATGTACAACTTTCATCACCAGATTGAAGTCAGGGTCTGGTAATTTGGAGCGGAGCTGATGACCATCCAGACAATATCACTATAAAACACTAATGGCTGTGAAAGACAGAATCTGTTCAGCGTATATCCTTATCACATTCAGCATGTTTTCGAGCGAACAACCTGATTGCATTTATGTGAATAAAAAATTGAAGAAAATGTCAAAATGTGTATTCTTGAGATTTCATCTCTCAATTGAATTTATCTGTTCCTAATCTGTCAATATCACGGCGGCTTTAAGGCTCACTGAAGTAGAGTTGTCGTTTTCTGTCAGCTGACCGAGCTAAAGCCATCAAGACCCAGGCTGTGGTGAATGAGAGTCCGACAGACAAGCTGATCAGGGAGCTACGGGAGGAGAACGCTCGTCTGATGGAGATGCTGAAGGGTGGTGGTGGAGCCAACGTTGTGGGAACCGATGCGTCCACCTTCAACAGAGAGGAGGGTATGTCATGAAAATATCATTCCACTTTCCAGGGCCACATTTTGGAGTGTTGTATGTCTGTAAATGTCTAGGAGTCAAGATGGTTGTAGCCCTGTAGTAACTTTGTGAGTCAAGATGGTTGTAGCCCTGTAGTAACTTTGTGAGTCAAGATGGTTGTAGCGGTGTGGTTACTTTGTGAGTCAAGATGGTTGTAGTGCTGTGTGAACTTTGTGAGTCAAGATGGTTGTAGCTCTGTGGTAACCTTGTGAGTCAAGATGGTTGTAGTGCTGTGTGAACTTTGTGAGTCAAGATGGGTGTAGCTCTGTGGTAACCTTGTGAGTCAAGATGGTTGTAGCGCTGTGGTAACCTTGTGAGTCAAGATGGTTGTAGCGCTGTGTAAACTTTGTTAAACAGGACCTAGATCACTGTGGTGAGAATGTCTTTATTAATGGGGGCATCTACACTGTTTAATGTGCGCTACACCGTTGCCTCCTTTGGGAATCGAGAACCATGTTTTCAAATTCTATATTTGCAATGATAATGATTCATAGCTTAACACCATTCCTGTCTTGAGGGTGTTTACCAAAGTAAATGTCTGAGGCGGTGGGTAGCCTAGTGGTTAAAGCGTTTGCTTGTCACGTTGAAGACCCGGGTTCGATTCCCTACATTTCCGAGTACAATGTGTGAAGCCCAGTTCAGATGTCCCCCACTGTGACTTTGCTGGAATCTGGAAGTGGCAAAAAATTAAACTCACTCACTTAGAGTAAATTTCTAAGCTCTGTTGGAATTTCTTCTGAGATAACAGTGAGAGGTTGAGATGTGAGTGAAAAAACTTATGTTAAATCTCTCACTGTTACTGAGCAAGTTTGGTTTTACGCCGCTTTTAGCAATATTGCAGCAACATCACAGCAGTGGACACCAGAAATGGGCTTCACATATTGTACCCATGTGGGGAATTGGACTCAGGTCTTCGACATGACGAGTTTAACAATTAGGCTACCCCTTTAATTTGTGATACGGGTTCGATTCCCTGCATGTGTGCAATGTGTGAAGCCCATTTCGGGTGTCTCCTGCCGTGTTATTGCTGGTATATTGCTAAAAGCAGAATAAAACTCACTCCTGTGTGTTGTCATGGTTACAGAGATGGAGCGTCTGAGGAAGGAGCTTGAGGAGCAGATGAAGGAGAGCCAGATGACGTGGGCTCAGAAACTGGAGGAGGCCAACCAGGCTAGCAAGGTGAGACAAGCCCTCACTCACTCACTAGCTGAAGAATATACAGTTATAACACATGGGCAGCTGATAGTTGACACAATATTCAGTCGTAACACATGGCCTATGATTGTAACTTGTATTGTTTTTGATTAACAGCCCACCTACCTGCTCCAATACTTACACACTCAACCTGGCACCCTGCCTCCCTCCAACATCCACAGACTAACTCGCTCATTCACTTCAGTAACCCATGCTTGTCGTAACAGGCGACTAATGGGATCGGGTGGTCAGGCTTCGCTTACTTAGTTGACACATGTCATTTTATCTCAAATGCATAGATTGATGCTCATGCTGTTTTGGATTGTCTGGTCCAGGCTAGATTATTTACAGACATATGGAATATTGCTGAGTGCAGCGTTAAACAACAAACAAATAAACACTCACTCACTCTCTCTCCTCCACAGGGCCAGGCAGAGGAGGAGAACCAGATACAAGCGAGGCGGAAGACAGAGTGCCACTTCTGGAACCTGAATGAGGACCCTGCCCTCACTGCAATGGTCATACACTTTGTCAAAGATGGTAAATATCATGGAGGAAACATCCTGTATCACTTCCGTAAAACATGGCATCATAATCTTCATCACAGTGTTGAATAATATCTTTCCATAAACATTAGGGATGCCTGCTGGCAAAGATTTGTCCTCACGGTGCTCTGGACTTTCATTTTTGAGTCCCATTTCAAGCAGATTTTAACAGGGTTTGCTGAAGGCTTAACGGGAAAAAGTCTGAAATGTTGACATTTTGAAACTATATTTAGAAAGGCCCTAAATTGTTTTAAGACTTGAAAAGGCCCATCCAGAAAGCACCCCCATATTTTTCCGAGCAGAACCAAAACCGTCACTATCCCCTTCAAACTTGGCATAGATAGGTCTTGGTGTACTGGTGCCTATTAAATTTTTTTGGAATTCGCCATATTTTTGTTTCCATGTCAACATGTTTGTTCAACAGAATTGGTGGTTGTGCTCCTTTCTGGAACAGAACTTAACACTTTTCAATACTCTCCTACCAATTTGCCATATACACATCAAAACATTGACATAATCAAAACTAGTAGACATATTCATGAAGAGTATTTTGCCATTGCGGGGGATATTGATGACTTTGTCTTCTTGTCAAGTGATTTTACAGGAAACTAATACATAAGAAAATAGCTTGCAATGACTGTGAGTGTTAATTAATCTCCATTTCGAAGCAAAATTTTCCAAGTTCTGCTATGTAGCTAACAGTTATTTCCTTCTGATGGTTGGTCCCAAGTTTGACTAATCTTGTGTACATAAATAGGCCTTAAATTTGATGACTGATTATCTGTACGAACCCGGATTAAGTCAGTCTATCACCAGTCTCTAACTAAAAATAAAATCATCAGATATGTGTCATAACACATCTTAAAAGCATAAATTTGGTACCATTTAACATAAGTCACATCTTGAATACATGGTGTCATCGGTTCCCAATTGCAGATCGATGCTCATGCTGTTGTGGATTGTTCCAGACTTGATTATTTGTGAGTGAGTTGCTGAGTTTAAAAACTAAACGCACTCACTCACTCTTGAATATTCCGCGGTGGCAGTGGGCTATATGGGCATGTGGCAATCTGATGTCTCAATTGAGTGGGTTGAATCCCAGATAACAATCCAGAATCTGATCAATATGACAGCAGTAAAGAGTGAGTGAGTGAGATCTGCACTCAGCAATATTCCAACCAATGGCAGTGGCCTGTCAACAGTCGGGACCAGACAATCCAGTGATCAACAGCTGATCGATCCCATTGGGAACCAATGTATATGTCAAGCCAGCGAGTCTTCAGCCTCTTCACGACAAGCATAGGTTACTGAAGATCAATATTCTAACCCGGATCAGTGAAAGAGAGAGTGAAGACAGCACTGCAATGTTCTCGACATTATGATGTCATTGTATTGTAACCTTGTCACATGATGTCACAGAACTGTATGATGTCATCAATGGAATGCTGTTTCTCATTTATTACTGAGGGAAATATGTAAATCTGTGCAAGGTTTTTCCGTTGCAGAATGCAGAATTGTTTACCGATATTTATCTTATAGATGAGCAATTTATCCAAATGTTGTTCAAGTCTTGGAAATAATGTTAAGATGGTGAATGATTTCATTGTTTGTCTCCGTAGTAAACAGTGAATTTTGCATGTCCATTTTTGTTTTTGAGGGCAACAACAGAGATGCAGGTAAACAATTTATTCCCTATTTCATGCTGTCAATAATTTATTTAGCAGTGTAGTAGTGTCAGTATGTAATATATTCTTACTTCAGGAAAATCCACTATCGGCACCAAGAACGCCTCTCCTCCACCAGATATACAACTAAATGGTTTGAGGTAAGCTGGAACTGAATAGGACTATTTAGCCAGACAGTGAGTGAGTGAGTGAGTGAGAGTGAGTGAGTGAGACACCCACCCACCTTCCTTAACGACGGGCTATTATCAGTTCTGTTGTCAGCAGCTGATGTCTTGCTCCATAATGACGTCATAAATATTGTTCCATGATCTAACAGTGTTGGGTCAACAGCCCGTTGTGAGTTGTTTGAAGTAAACTTACAATTAAATTTATGATACTGTTTTGTCTTATTTAACACAAATTCCATATTAGCTGTAATAGGGGAGTTAATTGAAGACCTAGGGCTTCTGCAAATGATAATACCCTGAAAAACAACATTACACCTATAGTGTAGGGATACATTCAAAAGTTTTGGTGAATCGGTTTTCAAATTGCCACCGTATATGTTGATTATACGGTCGGAGATTTTTAGCTTTGACCTATCAGAACTCGTGTTACATATCAAGTTGAATTAGAACACGATGTTATTTTCTTACCTTCTGTGCAGCATACAGAAAGAGCATGCTGTCATCGAGAACAAGAATAACATTGTGACACTGACCCCCACGTCAGGCTCGCGCATCCTCATCAACGGCGAGAGCGTCAAGGACAACCGGATTTTACACCATCACGACAGGTGAGTCGAAGGCTAGACTTTATACAAGCCTGGTTTACACATCTGCCAGCTGAAACAAATCGAAATGAGTCAAAATTTAAAGTAGTGGTGTTTTTAATTTTGCAAAATAGATTGAAAAAAGAGCAGATGTTCTCTTGCAATCAGTATATGATAATTGAAGGTCGAAAGTAACAGAAGCAAATGTTTTGGACTGTATGGATTGAAGAATCTACTGTTGCATCGAGCTACTAATCCTGCAGAGAATCTGTTGTTTCTATCCCTATTCCTCCTGCACTCATAGTATATTTCCTTTTTTCATACCATATCTACATTTTGTTACTTTGTATAGTTTTGACCATCCTCCATAATCTCCCGGGTATACATTCCGATAAATGGCCTGATAATTATATTACCTCCCTTTGCTGGCTCAGCCTTCTCGCAGTAGCCAATCAGATAAGCTGTTACAGTCGAGCGTGTTAGTGTTAACAAAGATGGCAGCCACAGCCACGAAGGTCACTCACTGTGCGACTCAGATTTAGTTGGAAAATCATACAAACAAATTGACAGGTCTGAAACCTTAAAACATATATGCAAGAACTCCTTGTACCTCTTTCAGGGTACCTCAGTTTAATCGGTTAGATAAAAGAAGCGGAATTGGATTTTGATTGACGTATTGTGATTGGTACGCTCAACTTCCCAGCGTAGACATCTGATTGGATAAAAAACCTGCAAAGGGCGGTAATATAATTATCGGGCCGAGCCGTAGATGCATCCAATGTACTATTGGAGATTTTTCAGAATGTGTACCCTGGAGATTATTGATTATGAGTTTTGACCTACAAGCCTGAATTTTGGGGCGAAAAATCTGACCATTTGATGTTCATGTTGTATTATCATAATGACTGAAACTGTTTTTTGCCAAAAGATATTTTAACATTTTCATGTCATTCTATAATATCTTCCCCAGAGTGCTGTTTGGATCGAATCATTTGTATGCATTCCAACACCCTCACGATGAGTCCAAACAGAAGGAACAAGGGGTGCAGGTTGCGAGTCCCACGTATGACTCTGCCCAGGAGGAAATCATGAAACATACAGGCCTCTTCAAGGACACGAGTGGTGGTGATGGCAAGTCTAAAGGTGGGCAGTTGTGTTGATGCTGGCTCTTTATAGGGAGTGGGCGTATGTTCAGCTGTGGAAGGTTTACTGCTAATTCATGTGTACATGCTTTAATGTTTCTGTGGGTAATCCAGTGTAGATTAGATCACGCTGACCAAGTATTGAACTGTTAGGATCTCAAGGCAGGCTGGATCCACAGTAATTGGTGACGTTTCAAGCAGAATAGGTCCCCAGTACCCTATTTTGATCTGTTGCAGAAATTTCAGGGTAGGTTAGACCTTGCCTGCTTAAAATTTCAGATATGATTTTAATTGATGAATTTTCCTACGATTGTTGTTGTATTCACATATCCGATGATATTTCCCTAAGACTGTTGTTGTATTCACATATCAGATGTTATTTCCCTAAGACTGTTGTTGTATTCACATATCCGATGTTATTTCCCTAAGACTGTTGTTGTATTCACTTATCAGATGATATTTCCCTAAGGCTGTTTTGTGTTCACATATCAGATGATATTTCCCTGAGACTGTTGTTGTATTCACATATCAGATGATATTTCCCTAAGTCTGTTGTGTTCACATATCAGATGATATTTCCCTGAGACTGTTATTGTGTTCACATATCAGATGATATTTCCCTAAGGCTGTTATTGTATTCACATATCAGATGATATTTCCCTGAGACTGTTGTTGTATGCACATATCAGATGATATTTCCCTAAGGCTGTTATTGTGTTCACATATCAGATGATATTTCCCTGAGACTGTTGTTGTATGCACATATCAGATGGTATTTCCCTAAGGCTGTTATTGTGTTCACATATCAGATGATATTTCCCTAGATGATATTTCCCGAGGCTGTTATTGTGTTCACATATCAGATGATATTTCCCCATGACTGTTGTTGCATGCACATATCAGATGATATTTCCCGAAGATTATTGTTGTATTCACATATCAGATGATATTTCCTGAAGACTGTTGTTGTATTCACATATCAGATGATATTTCCCCATGACTGTTGTTGTGTTCACATATCAGATGATATTTCCCTAAGGCTGTTGTTGTGTTCACATATCAGATGGTATTTCCCCTAAGGCTGTTTTTGTATGCACATATCAGATGGTATTTCCCTAAGGCTGTTATTGTGTTCACATATCAGATGGTATTTTCCTAAGGCTGTTATTGTGTTCACATATCAGATGATATTTCCCTAAGGCTGTTATTGTGTTCACATATCAGATGATAATTCCCCCATGACTGTTGTTGTATGCACATATCAGATGATATTTCCCTAAGGCTGTTATTGTGTTCACATATCAGATGGTATTTCCCCTAAGGCTGTTATTGTGTTCACATATCAGATGATATTTCCCCTAAGGCTGTTTTTGTTTTCACATATCAGATGATATTTCCCTGAGACTGTTATTGTATTCACATATCAGATGATATTTCCCTAAGGCTGTTATTGTGTTCACATATCAGATGGTATTTCCCCTAAGGCTGTTATTGTGTTCACATATCAGATGATATTTCCCCTAAGACTGTTGTTACATTTGCAGAGGACTTGCTACTCCAGGAGGACCTGATACAGCTGCTCCCGATGGTGAATGAAGCAAATGCAATGTCTGAAGAACTGGACAAAAAGGTCAAGTTTGAGATTGCATTGGTCTCGCCACAAGCCAGAGGTCTGCCACATGGTCGGACAGAGGTAATTTTATCTCCTTTAGGTCTAGGAAGTATTTTAGCTGTGCTGTATGCATATTTGAAAAATTAATGTTCGAATTGTTTCTTTGGTTGGACTATTTCCACTCAGGTTTATGACAGAAGCTTGTTAGTAATTTAGGAAGGCAGTGTTTAACAAGAAAAAAAACAGAACAAATTTCAAGTGTCTTGTGAGCTTTTCCTGACAGTGTTTTCAATCCTGAGATCTCTGATTTTTCTCATCAGGTGAATGTGAAGATGAGGAACTTGGTGAACGGCAACGAGTGGATGTTCGACCGCAACCACTTCATCAACCGCAAGTTCCTGATGCAGGAGATGTACCAGAATTTTATGGAGGGCTGCAAGGATTGGGATGTGGAGAGGGTGATTATCTACCCTTGAATATACTGTGTGTTCCATAATTAGTGAAAATATCGCTTTGAAGAGGGCCAAATATTGGAGGATGCACCAGTGTACTGAGAAAATAATGACCCTCCCTTATATTTTTGGATGATCTTCCACATGTCATTTTACTATTTCGACCCTCCCCGAAAAGGCTTTTTATTATGATATAGGTTTTTGACCCTCGCTTGGAGACTGCTGTGTTTTTCGGTCTTGGCATCTTTGACTTGTGAAACATATGTTATATTTGGGATTACACTTTCTCAGTAAAGTACAGATTCTAGTACTTTTGTTGGGTGGAAGTCGCTGTGGCTGAGCAGGTTTGACAGCTGACTTTGTGTGCTGGCTATTAGGTGTCTGACTCTGAGGGTGTGGGTTCGAATCCCGGATGGGACTCATCCCAACAAAAGTACTAGAATCTGTACTTTATTGAAAAAGTGTAATCCCAGTTCTAAGATGCCTAGCGGTTAGAACAATCGAAAAAAAACAACATTATCAGACAATAAAGGTATAGTTTTTTGATGACGTAACAATTGAATGACGTTATCCCATCACTGCGCCATTCTAGTGTGCCCCCTCGTAATCAAACCATTTTACATTACGTCACAATGTAAGCGACGTCACGATGCATGTCAGTTGTCATCGCCTCGTACGGCCTCCTACAGTAAACTACCCCGTTGCATCCCGTTTCTTGGTTTGCAGTTGCTTCGCGCAGCTAACATCACTGGTGGAAATTGGCATTTAGCATGGTAGTTGCTAAATGGGTTTATAGGCAGCATTTACATTAAGCACAGCTCTAGCACTGCTCTGGCAAGTGAAATACACTTTCGGATATGTAGCGTTTAACTTCACCTTGAATTATGTCATTTCTAATCATCTTCATTTCGGCATGCGGCTAACACACAGTCGGCACAGTGGCAGTGTAGTTGAGTGAAATATCTGTCTTAACCTTTAGGTACTAAAGGCGGCATAATTTGATAAAAGGGGATGGGTGGAATATACAATTCTTTGCAAAGTATTCATACACTTATCTTATGATAAGTATCCAGTGTAACAGCATGCGTGGCAGTGTATTATTTCCGCATTCCATAATAGTAGCTTCGTCACTTCGGAGTGATGTCACATCATGAGGCATACGTCGCGTCCGTTTCCTTTCTATTCTGCATGCTGTCCTGACAGGTTCACCATCTTGCTTCATCCATAATAATTTCTCGATCTTGGCTCAAATTTTGTTATCTCGTAAAATTCTGAATTAACTTAATACTTAATTCGCATCCGCTATCACATTACGTCCTTTTCATCTGAATTCTTGATTGTTTTAAATAATTGTACAACTTTCTTTCCGAGCAACTCATCATGCCACCAAAGCGCCAAGGCAGCCATCAACCACGCTGTGGTCAGGGGCGCCCTAAGGTTGCCAGGCGTCAGGCAAAGGGGCGCGCAGCTTCTGGTGTTGTCCCTGGGGGCTGCCCCTCAGGCCAACCAACCCGCACCACCCTCTGTGTCTACACCGCGTGAGGTTCCTCCGGCAACCATCAATGTGACACCCCGCTGGAGCCAAGCTTCATCACCCGATGGCTCCGTCATCCACTAATCAAGGTGCGTCTCACTTTGGGCATATTAGTATTTCGCGGGTTGTTAATTCCAAGCTCTGTTAGGCCTGATGTTGAGTTACAGCCACGCGCGGAGGTCCACCGCTATGCCAAACTTCTGTATACAGGGGCAACCCTTCTCTAATCGGAGTCACTGATTAATGCAGAGGCACTGTCAAATCAACAGCTGAACTTCAGGGCGGAGACTATAAGTTTCCATGTGAAGCAAGCAGTGAGGGAAAAGATCCATCGTGGGGAATTTGTAGATATGAGGTCCCTATTGCCACCAGAGAACCAGGCAGCACAGGAGAGTTCCAACTTCACAATGGAGCTTGATATTTCAGGACAGGTAGTTTTTAAACCCAAGCAGCTGTCTGTCCGTCAATTAAACATTGGGGCTTGGACATCTGCTTTCTTGACTTTTATCAGCGTGGTAATAGAAGCGTCAGGCGGATGTCAACAAGATACAACAAATGCTCATTACATGGAGGCGATCAGCGGTGCGCATCCACGATTTGGCGGTGACTGCTGGTCTCAATCACGGCGTCCAGTTTAGGCAAAAATGGAGAGGGACCCATTTCGGTCATGGGGTGCCATCGGACGGACAACTGTGGCTGCAGTTAATGCTCCCCAGCCACAAGCAGCAGGCATTTGCCTACCCAGCCAGAGCCTCCACCTACACTCAGCGGCGCACAGAGGTATGTAGAAACTTCAATCGTGGCACTTGCGAGAGGGTCAGATGTGCCGTTATGCACACAGGTGCTCAGCATGTAACATAGGCGGGCATGGAAGCCATGTCTTGTTTCGTGGCAAAAGAACACAGTCACCACCGCCCAATCTCTTAAAAGCGTCAACCTACCTTGCCAGGCAGAGCTATTTCACCACGGCCCCAACTCCAATTAACATCCCTTGCTTGGAACAATGGTTGCAGCAATATAAATTGTGCAATCCAGCAGCAGCTCAGTTACTACAGGAGGGTTTCAGTAAGGGTTTCAGCTTAAACTTCTGAAGGGCCGCGGGTCATTCGGGGCGCTATCAACCTTAAATCTGCCAGGGAACAGCCACTAATAGTGGAGCAAAAGCTGCAAAAGAAATTCTGTTGGGTCGCATGGCAGGCCCATTTTCATTCCTACAGACCAGTGCAATCTCTTATAGTTTCCCCAATCGGCTTGGTGCCTAAGAAAGTTGATTCATCAGTTCATGGTGAGGCTGCCTTCCGCCTCATCCATCATTTATCGCATCCTCAAGGCTCATCAATCAATGATTTTATACCACAGGAAGCATGTACAGTGCAGTACACCAGTTTCGACCAGGCTGTAGCCATGATTCAAAACTTGGGCAGGGGTGCTTACATGTCAAAATTTGGCGTCAAATCAGCCTTTAAGCCTCCTGCCTGTGGTACCATCGGACTTTCAGCTACTTTCGGCATTAAGTTTCAAGAACAATTTTACATTGATAAATGCCTTCCCTTTGGCTGTTCCATTTCTTGTGCCCTATTTGAGTCATTCAGCACTTTCATTGAATGGGCTATCAAGGCCACTACGTGCAGTCAGGACATCGCTCATTACCTTGATGATTTTATCCTGGCGGCAGTGGACCTAAGCAAATGCTCCAACATGCTTAACACCTCTTTGCAACTGGCTGATAATCTGGGCGTGCCTATCGGCTCACCAGAAGACTGTACAACCTACAACTTGTCTGACATTCCTGGGCCTCACCATAGACACGGCTCGGGGTGAAATCAGGATACCGGAGGACAAGATAGCACAACTGGTCCATCAGCTGTCACAGCTGGTAGACTCATCATCCAAGAAAGTTACACTGCATACGCTGCAGTCAATAGTGGGAAAGCTAAACTTTGTATGCAAGGCAATTCCCATGGGTCGTCCATTCTTGCGGCGTCTCATCGGGCACAAAAGAAGACGCATAAGCCACACCACAGGATCACGGGTATCAGCGGGTATCGCGTGAAGACCTTAATCTGTGGCTTCAGTTTCTTGCCAGGCACAATGGCACAACCTTATTCTTGGAACAGGGTTGGGTTACAACCCCAATACTCAACTTTATACAGATGCAGCTGGCTCAGGGTTGGGGTGCATATTTCCAAGGTCATTGGGCCAATGCCAGGTGGCCAGATCTATGGATACAACAAGGATGGGTGAAAGACATTACATGCTTAGAGCTCTTTCCTATAGTCGTGGCATTGCGCATATGGGGCAGCAGTCTGGCCAACAAAGGGTACTAATGTTCTGTGACAACCAGGCCGTGGTGAGTATTATCAACAGGCACACTGCCAAAGGGCAAAGGGTAATGAAACTGCTCAGGCGAATGGTCCTCATATGCTTGCAGAACAACATACACTTCAAAGCACAGTATATACCAACTCAGGCCAACATAATAGCAGGCGGCTCTTCGAGATTTCAGTGGTCCGCGGTTTGAGCAGCAGCCCCACAGGCGGATCATCAGGCCTCAGGAATCCCAGCGGACATCTGGCTCATCTAACAGCGGAAGCAAACAGTCTAGTAGCAAACTTCGATGGCAGCAAACACTTGGAGGACTTATGAGTCGGTACAGTCCTCTGGCTATTTTCGGGTGGTGTACTCCTGCCTGACATATGGCCTGTACCTTTAGATCATATGCTTCATTTTATAGCTTATCTCTCATTATCAGGTAGGTCTCCCAGCGCGGCCCGTTCTTACATTTCAGCATTATCCTCCATACACAAGCTCAATTCCTTGCAGTGCATGTCTAACCACTTCCTAGTGCAGAAAGCCATTGCAGGGATGGCCAGGAGATCGAGGCAGCCAGATACCGTCAGCCGATTACACTTTCGATCTGCTAACTTCGCATTGTGCAACTCCTCCCCACTGTATGTAGGTCTTCATATGAAGCTTCTATGTTTTCAGCGGCATACCTGCTAACATTTTTTGGGTTTTCAGGGTAAGTGAGGTAGTTGCGGTTCAATCAGCGACTCATCACAGCGGGCGTTGTTGCTGAATGACCTATCTTTTCGCTAGCGACCAATCCTACGTCGAGGTGGTCCCTACGGGCCTCCAAAACAGATCAACAAGGCAGGCGGCACGCGCATCGCCATTCAAGCAGTCCCTCGGTCCATACTGTGCCCGTCAAAGCTTTGACCACGATTTTTGGCAGTCGCGACCCGCGTACAGATGGATATTTCTTTATTCACACTAATTCCGCTCCTCTAACAAGATTTCAGTTTCAGGCAGTGCTCAGGAAGGCGCTAAGCGGCAGCAAAACAACCCATCAATATTAATCTTTACTCTTCTCATTCATTTGGGATAGGGGCAGCAACCACAGCAGCGTTGCAAGGAATTCCGGCAGTTCAGATTCAGGAATTTGGCGCTGGAGATCGAATGCCTACCAGGCGTATATCCGTATCCCCGGCTAAGCACACAAAACTAATTTAAGAAATATGGGTTGCAGGACCATCGTGGGTGATTGGCTCAAGCTACATGGCGAGGCTGCAACAACACCTCGGGCGCACCGAAGCAGCCTGGGCCTCGCCGGGGTCATCACAATTCCGACAGGGGGCCTCAGGTGGTGAACTTCACGCAGCAGGGTGGGCCGGGCTAATAAAGGCGAGGGGCCCATGCAGGTCGTTTATCGTGATCCACCTGGGTTCCTAACGACCTGTGTGAGTCCCTTCCAAAGTCCTCTCACGATGACATGCACCAGGAATTGCTGTATATTAAGCCTGCGCTGCCCAGCTGCCACCATCATCTGGTCGCAGATGCTGCCTCGGCTTTCGAGTGGCGTGGAGCTATTGATCTCCAGCCCTCGAGCTGAAAGAAAGAAATTAAATCGTAGAGTCAGCAACATCGTGAAAGAGCAGCTGGGCGGCGGGGTTGTATCATTCACACCTGACCCGCTCATTATCTGGGCCGGGGTTCACCTAACCAAGCCAGGTATGGGCCCAACATCGTGCCATCCTGGCAGCATTCAAACATTAAGACCTTTTCTCGTCCTCTCCCTACTCCCACCTTTAACTCTTTAACTTCGTTGTGGATGGCAGCCCGGCTTCGCTGTCGGCAGTGGGCAGCGTCGCGGGCCTGTTGGCATGGTGCCGGCGGGACTAAACACTAAATAGGCTTAATAAAGGGGGATGCTTGGCTTCTGCTTTCACAGTGGCAGCCCAAACCTTCCTGCCTGCTGTCTCAGCGGGAGGAAGTACAAAAGTTTCAATGCCTTATCAGCCTGCTTTTCCTGCCTGCTGTCTCAGCGGGAGGATATACAAGGTTTGCAATGCCTTATCAGCCTGCTTTTCCTGCCTGCTGTCTCAGCGGGAGGAAGTACAAAGTTTGCAATGCCTTACCTGCCTGCTGTCTCTCAGCGGGAGGAAGTGCAAACTTGCCTATGCTTTGCCTGTCTGCCTTTACGGCGGAGGGCATAAAAGCTAAGCTATATATCCGGTCCCGTCGAGCCATCCACACAGCTCATTGTCATCCACACTTCTGCGTTGTGTAGTCTTTCATTGGGTAGACATACCATATTAATGTCATCCTCATCAGCCGCAGCTGATCGTTATTACAGACTAAAGGTCTGCATATAATGGCATTTAGCATTAGTTGCTAAATGGGTTTATAGGCAGCATTTACATTCGCACAGCTCTAGCACTGCTCTGGCAAGTGAAATACACTTTCGGATATGTAGCGTTTAACTTCACCTTGAATTATGTCATTTCTAATCATCTTCATTTTCGGCATGCGGCTAACACACAGTCGGCAGTGTAGTTAAGTGAAATATCTGTCTTAACCTTTAGGTACTAAAGGCGGCATAATTTGATAAAAGGGGATGGGTGGAATATACAATTCTTTGCAAAGTATTCATACACTTATCTTATGATAAGTATCCAGTGTAACTTACGCGCGTGGCAGTGTATTATTTCCGCATTCCATAATAGTAGTAGCTCGTCACTTCGGAGTGATGTCACATCCGCCAGGCATCACGTCGCGTCCGTTTCCTTTCTATTCTGCATGCTGTCCTGACAGGTTCACCATCTTGCTTCATCCATAATAATTTCCCACCCACCCTTCCCTGCTGCAGCACATGATCTGGGGAGTGGGGTGCTGAAGCATGAAGGTTGTTAAATGCGACTTATATTAAGTCTTTGTACAGTTCTCAGTATGCATAACATGTACCATAACCTTTGTGTCTTGCTTCCTTTGTAATAAACAGGTGCGGTGGGCATGGTGCCGCGGGACTAAACACTAAATAGGCTTAATAAGGGGATACTTGGCTTCTGCTTTCACAGTGGCAGCCCAAACCTTCCTGCCTGCTGTCTCGCGGGAGGAAGTACAAAAGTTTCAATGCCTTATCAGCCTGCTTTTCCTGCCTGCTGTCTCAGCGGGGAGGATATACAAGGTTTGCAATGCCTTATCAGCCTGCTTTTCCTGCCTGCTGTCTCCGGCGGGAGGAAGTACAAAGTTTGCAATGCCTTACCTGCCTGCTGTCTCAGCGGGAGGAAGTGCAAACTTGCCTATGCTTTGCCTGTCTGCCTTTACGGCGGAGGGCATAAAAAGCTAAGCTATATATCCGGTCCGTCGGTAGCCATCCACACGCGCTCATTGTCATCCACACTTCTGCGTTGTGTAGTCTTTCATTGGGTAGACATACCATATTAATGTCATCCTCATCAGCCGCAGCTGATCGTTATTACAGACTAAAGGTCTGCATATAAACGTGTACCTACAGTCTTTGGGCTACATGATAGAGTTGCAGGAGAACCTTGCCGTCACTGACTTCAAGGGTGTCGAACAAGGTAGGGAGCCTCATTATATTATTAGCTCACCTCACTTCAATATGATTCATTGTGGTCATCAGGATATTATTATGGACATTAGGAGTATACTGTATCCAATCTCTGCTGTAGCTCACCTGACAGTATGATGTTTTGTAGACATCAGGAGTATATTGTATCCAATCTCTGCTGTAGCTCACCTGACAGTATGATGTTTTGTAGACATCAGGAGTATATTGTATCCAATCTCTGCTGTAGCTCACCTGACAAGATGACGTATTATAGACATCAGGAGTATATTGTATCCAATCTCTGCTGTAGCTCACCTGACAAGATGACGTATTATAGACATCAGGAGTATATTGTATCCAATCTCTGCTGTAGCTCACCTGACAAGATGACGTATTATAGACATCAGGAGTATATTGCATCCAATCTCTGCTGTAGCTCACCTGACAAGATGATGTTTTGTAGACATCAGGAGTATATTGTATCCAATCTCTGCTGTAGCTCACCTGACAAGATGACGTATTATAGACATCAGGAGTATATTGCATCCAATCTCTGCTGTAGCTCACCTGACAGGATGATGTTTTATAGACATCAGGAATATATTGTATCCAATTTTGCTGTAGCTTACCTGACAAGATGATTTATAATGAACATCAGGAGTATATTGCATCCAATCTCTACTGTAGCTCACCTGACAGGATGATGTTTTATAGACATCGGGAGTATATTGTATCCAATCTCTGCTGTAGCTCATCTGACAAGATGACGTATTATAGACATCAGGAGTATATTGCATCCAATATCTTCTGTAGCTCACCTGACAGATGATTTATAATCGACATCAGGAGCATATTGCATCCAATCTCTGCTGTAGCTTACCTGACAAGATGATTCATAATGGACATCAGGAGTATATTGTATCCAATCTCTGCTGTAGCTCACCTGACAAGATGATGTATTATAGACATCAGGAGTATATAGCATTCAATCTCTGCTGTAGCTCACCTGACAGATGATTTATAATGGACATCAGGAGTATATAGCATCTAATCTCTGCTGTAGCTTACCTGACAAGATGATTTATAATCGACATTAGGAGTATATTGCATCCAATTTCTGCTGTAGCTCACCTGAATGTTGAGATTCTGCCGTGTTCCGATGACTGGACGGAATGCTGTGATGAATTCACCGAGGACCCAGGTGATCTGGTATGTATCTTTTCAAAGCATGGATAATTGTGTCTTGAAACAGTTACAGTAAATGGAAATTCAATATGGCCAACTGGCAGCCATATTTGATTGGTTCACCGAAATAAGCTTCAGTAGAATCAGTATTGTAGGCTTGTACATTACTCAAGGTAATTCTCGACCTACCATGACTAAGAGACACTGCACTATCAATGAAAGCATGCTTTAGTTACCTGGTGAGGAAATGATATGATGTGAAATATAGGACATTTGATGTTGTGTGGCACCAGTATATTCAACTCCAGCTGTTGCATTACAGCTGTCCAGAGCCCTGCACTTCAAGCTGAAGATTATATCTGGACGTGGAATCGCAAATCGCTTTATCAAAGTAAGTGAGACATATCACAGAATCTGAGAAGGATTAGAATGTATACTGCAGTCTGATTGATGGTAAAACATTTGAGGAAAAACATCATTGGTTTAGAGAAATGGCTACTATTGTTAACTATTGAAATATTGTCTCCCCCCGTGAAGATCCAGGTTAGAAATGGTCATCAGCAACCCATGCTTGTCGTAAGAGGCGACTAACGGGCTCAGGTGGTCAGGAATGCTGACTTGGTTGACACATGTCATGCATATTCCAATTGTGCAGATGAATTCTGATGCTGTTGAACCAGACAATCCAGTGATCAACAGCATGAGCACATAGGCAATTGGGATGCAATGACATGTGTCAACCAAGTCAGCGAGCCTGATCACCTGATCCCGTTAATCGCCTCTTACGACAAGCATGGGTTACTGATGACCATTTCTAACCCGGATCTTCACGGGGGGAGACAATATTTCAATATGGGTTGCTGAAGTGTAGCCCAGATCTTCATGGGTTTAGGGATATAAACAAGCATCATGAAAGTCAGCAAGCCTGACCACCTGATCCCATTACATGCTTCTTACGACAACTTACGATGCTTTTTAATGACACTGCGTGGTTTGTTCAGTCGTACTGCAGGTACAAGTTTTACCTGGACGAGAACTGGGTGGAGACAGAGACCATCTCTGGGACCAGCAACCCCGACTTCGACCACGAGAAGCGCTTCACGTTCAAACCCGTCACCCAGCAGGTAACTTACTGCTGTGTTTTCTGGTTTACTTTTAAAACAAGAGTTGCCCTGAAATGGAGTTTAATAACACGTTCAGGTTTATTGTTCTTATATAGTGTCAGGGGTGTTATTGTCTGCTCTGGGCTAATCTATACTAAAGGGGGCGGTGGGGTGACCTAGTGGTTAAAGAGTAATGGTGAAGACCCGGTGTAACAGGCCAGAGTTTACCCATGTCCCAGACTATACCCGGGGTTAAATGAAATGCACCTACAAATTCCTTTAAATGACACCAAGACCATTGCCCGAGTCACACACTCATATTGAGTGAATTGTCAACATAATTTTTTAAGGGTATAGTCTGGGCTGGAGGGGTATACTTTGGCCTGGTCCAGAGTATACCCCCGGGGTATAAACTGGGCTAGCCTATAGTTTACCCCGGGGTATAATCTAGTGGGGGTTATTCTGGGCTGCTACACCGGGTTAGATTTAACACATCAGTGCAATTTATGAAGCCCATTTTTTATGTCCCCCATCGTGATATTGCTGGTATATTGCTAAAAGCGGCCATAAAACTAAATGCAGGATTTATTGTGCTAGCCCTGACGTACCATTCCTTTTTTGTGGAAATGCTCACAGTTTTTATGCTGACTTTGAGATAACCGGTATCCAGACCCCAGAGGTGGTCAATAAGACAAGGTACAGGTGTCAAATGTCATTATTTATGATGTTTGACCAGGTGAACTCCATTGCTAAATTTGTTCCATGTTACCATGGTAACTCCAACACTTGTCATGGGTCATCTAGTTGCTGGACTACCTGCTCACAAGATCACTGGTCATCGAAGTCTGGGGACAACAGAAACCGGACAAGTCGGAAGTGGTGGACGATGCCGGCAAGGCAGCGAAGAAGTCTGAAAAGACGTCCAAGGGTGACCCCAACCCTGCCCCGGCCCCAGCCCAGAACACCACAAAGGCCCTCATGTCCCGGGAGAAGACCACCCTCGGGGTGGGGGCAACTGCAGCCAATACTGTCACTGTAAGTTCATTGTCACATGCATGTCATGTGACAAATATTTCTGCTGTACTTCAAAATCATTGAAACAATTGAATTGCCATCCTTTCATAAATCACTTCTCTAGTATGGTGATCTACCTTCGGTTGCTGGCAATCTATAGCCTGTTTTTATATTGTATTGTCTTCTGTAGTTATGATATTTTAGATTTTCACGCTAGCTTTATATTTATATTTGTGATATTCTAGTTGTTTTAACTTTCCTTCATCGACAGGCTTTTTATAATTTACATGTATTTATGATGAATTTAAAAGTAGTTGGTTATGATATGGCTGAAATATTGCCGATTTGACTGTAAATCCTCACTCACTCACTCACTTATGTATTACAATGTATTTTAATACAAATTATGTGTCTAAATATTTGATAAGATCAAACACCTCATGAAAATGAAATTGTTTTGTCCCTAATCACTTGCTATGAATGTTTCAGGTTAGCAAAGAAGACAAGATCAAAGAGGTGAGTTTGTCAGTTAGTTAGTGAGTCATTGTGAGGAAATTTATCCCTTAATTAACAGGGTAATGCGAGTCAAATGGGTTATTTTCTTATTTTTTTACTAGTTAACATAATGCTTTTAATGCTATGACTAACAAATGACACAAACAATATTCTTTCTACAGCAATAAATTGCTTTGACAAATTCAACATGGCTGCCTTAGTGGCCATATTGAAAATTATATGTTGACCTGATACTCAGCCTATTATAATTCTGTCAGTGCGTTATGACACATACATGCCCTTGAAATGCTGGTTACTTGATTTTGCCCTTCCACAAATGGCTGCAATATTGTTGACACAGCATTAAACCCTAATAACGCTTGTGGATGTTGTTTAAAATCAAACGATAGTTGTTGCAGATTTTGAGCTAGCAATTTATAAAGATTTTGGACTGATAGCATAATTTTGTCTGTTTGATGCTGAGGTTTTTATGAGAGAGTTCTTCCAGATTTTGGAGTTACATTAAATTCAAGAGGGAAGTATCAAGATGTGAAACAGGAAGAACCTGAGCTACACATGTGTTGCTTTCAATCTGTATGTTGTATATAAGTTGTTTTTATGTAAAGAACTGGTCATTTATTTCTTTGGTTAGGGGGCAGTGAGGTAGCCTAGTGGTTAAAGCGTTCGCTCGTCACGCCGAAGACCCGGGTTCGAATCCCACATGGGTACATTCTGGTGTCCCCCGCCGTGATATTGCTGGAATATTGCTAAAAGCGGCGTAAAACCAAACTCACTCACTCACTCACTCATTGGTTAGGGGTTGTCAAGCAGTGGAATTTGACTGTATGATATTTTCTTGCCCCCAACTCAAATATGTGTAGCATTTTCTCATTACCCGACCAATAATAATTGGCCAGTACCAACTAAATTTTAGAAGTTCACATTTTTTTGTAACAAGAAACCAAAAAAAAACCAATACAATAAAAACAGTGGTATTTTGTCATGGCCATCTCCCATATAGATATGATGTATGTTAATGCTCCTTCCCTGTAATGAATGATCCAGTCCCAAATTGGAAAACATTGACTTGAAATATGACATCTCAACCATCAGACAGTTCTGGTGATAGTAACATTGACCAGAATATCTTTTGGTCTGCTGATAAGAAATCGTCAGCGACAGAAATGGGATTGTTGGTTAGCCAGTATAGGGTATAGGTACCGCCAATATTCAAATGAGCAGCCTGATTAATCCACCTGGTTACCCCTGTGCAGGTAGTGAAAGAAAATGAAATTGTACCTTGTTCTGGCTAGCTATTCTCGGAACGTTCGTAGCCCTACGAACTTCTTAAGCCCATTCTCAACACATTGGCTACGATCAAAGTTAAGAATTCTTAGGGCTACGAACATTTTGAGAATAAGGGCCCTGGTGTCTCCTGCTGTGATGTTGCTGGAATATTGCTGAAAGCTTCCTCAGAACCTTACTCAGTCATATGTCAAATGACTAACCTTCTATCGCCTCACAGGCAGCTTGGGTTATCCAGGGCCTAGATTTTCGAAGCTCTCTTAGCGCTAAGATAGTTGCAAGTGCCATACATTAACATTAACTTACGATTATCTTAGCGCTTAAAAGCTTTGAAACCTAGGCCCATGGTAATAATGTCCATGTTGTATGCGCTAAGAGCCTGCCCGAGTGGGGTGGAGTTCAGCGCTTTGTAAGTGGCCTTATTGTTATTATGCTGGAAAATACATGAGCTTTGCAATGTCTGATATTGTAACATTCCTCTGCTACCCTGCAGAAACAAGACGTAAGTATGCATGGGTTGAACGAAAAACTAACTTTTTGTTGCTTTCTGTGTCTAATATTGGGCCAGGTCTCTTTCTCTTAATTTTGGATATGTGTTTTTAGCAGCTTTGTTTTGTTTGGTTAGCAATGCTACTAACGGTTCATTGTTTTACCTTTACTAAAAATGAAGGTTTCTCAACTTTTCCAATTCTTTTAACAGTTTTGAGTTAATAATGATAGCTTTATTTTGTTAAACCTGGTATTAGCGGCATTAACACAACTAAAGTGTACAGAGAGAGATAGTTTGTGTTTAGCACTGTTGCTAACATCCTGTGCATTAAGGGGCGGTGGGGTAGCCTAGTGGTCAAAGCATTGGCTCGTCACGCCGAAGACTCGGGTTCGAATCCCCACATGGGTACAATGTGTGAAGCCCATTTCTGGTGTCCCCCGCCGTGATGTTGGTGGAATATTGCTAAAAGGGGCGTAAAATCAAACTCAGTCAGTCAGGCAGTCCTGTGCATTAAACACTGGCTGCAGCACCTGGACAAGTAGCATGAGGGATGAGCTATTTTGACACTCTGCAATCTGTTTATTTCCTTGGTACATTCACGAGCAAGAAGCACGACCCACAGTTCAGTATTACTGATATCATCACTATTTAACTATAGGCTTTCCACCTGCACTGCAACAAGGCATGTTGTCATGATGTCAATCAGTGGATTGTTTGATTATTTACAGTGGTGCTAAATTACAAAAGTGAACAGTATTTACACAAACATTCAATAAGAGTAACCTCGACCATGGCCCTTCATAGCAACTGACCTTGACCGCTGTCATGGAAGGTTGCTTCTGACGTTCTGATACAGTCTTCTCTTCACAATGCCAGTCTGTCACAATGTCCTGGGACTACACTAGTTCTGACCTTTTGTACTGGCTCAGTAGCTCACATAGGCCCAGATAAGGGACAGTTCCGCATTTCGCGTTACTGCTTCCTTGTATATACTGAATAAAAGTTGAACTTGATCTCAACCTTTTGTTCTCATCTTATGAGAACTACTTCACTTGGCTTCCATACCAAGGCATCGGAATACGGCCTCCAAGCGTGGCCCTATGGACCTGGGTCACAATCAGTATGATGATGCAGAGGTGTTCAACATGCACTCTTACTGAGCTCTACTCTACGGAGCAATTACGTCAGTGAAGTGTAACACTCCCGAATTCCAGTGGATTTCATTGTGTTCTGCCTCCTAAAGTTGCTGGGCACATCCATTGACTAAGCTTATGCAAAGGAGTGAGGGTAAATTTGATGCCGTCCTGGAACTGAACATTAAAATATGGAGTTGCCGAGTTGTGCTTTGTTGTTCTTGAGAGCATGAACATGATGAAGATGAGAAAATCTTCCAAGGTAGATACGTAACACACTGATTGTGTTTCTCGGTTTATCACCTCCAAAGATCCAGGTTCGATATCCCACATGGGTACAATGTGTGAAGCCCACTTCTGCAGTCCCTTTCAATGATATTGCTGGAATATTTCGAAAAAATGGCAGAAAAACATACTCGCTCACTCCAACATAGATAACCCTCTACAAATAACTCAATGAACCACAGCTGCAGATCCTTTAAAGTCCCACTCCCAATTCTGTCACAGACTTGAAAGCACCATCCCCATGGTTGTTGGTTTTTACCAAAACGAGACTACAAATTGTCCCATTGGTGCTGGTTGCCCTTGACATACATATATCTGGGGCGCGGTGGGTGAGCTAGCTAAGGTGCCAGGCTAGTGATCCAGCGAGGTTGAGGTGTCGGGATCGAGCCCACCTGTAACCGGGTGTAAAAACCCTGGAGTCAACTTTGTGTGCAGACTCTTTCACAACACAATAGGTAATTGATAGATTTTAAAACACACAAAACGCCTATGCGTTTCTCTTTTAGGATAGTATATGAATATGATGTATATTACAAACAGCTGTTGTGTGTGAGGTTGTTTACTTACCCCATTAAGTATGCCTACGTATGTTCTAACGTCACACTGTAACAAGGTAATTACAACAAATGTAAAAAAGCTGTACTATCTCATAAATATGTAAGCTGGTGCAGTTTCTCTATGAATATATATATATAAAATGCTCGGATCACTTACATTTGTAAATGGGGCGGTGGTAGCCTAGTGGTTAAAGCGTTCGCTCGCCACGCCAAAGACAAGGGTTCGATTCCCCACATGCGTACAATGTGTAATGCCGATTTCAGTTGTCCCCCGCCGTGATATTGCTGGAATATTGCTAAATGCGGCGTAAAGCATGGGGTGCGGTGGGCGAGCTGGCTAAGGCGCCAGGCTAGTGTTCCAGAGAGGTTGAGGTGTCGGGATCGAGCCCACCTGTGAGCGGGTGTAAAAAACCTTGGAGTCAACTTTGTGTGCAGACTCTTTCAGTATTGTCACAACCCCTAGTGTACAGTACACAACCCTGTGCACTTAAAAGAGCCCACGAATCCGTTGGTATATGACCAGATGGTGGCCACGTGAATACGTGCAAACACCTAGTTGCGGGTACAGCAACGTGCAGTGAACTTGGACAAAGTACTGTGACTATGTGTCCCAGTCCACCCAGCTGTGAATGGGTACCTCGTTAGGATAAGAAAGACACAATAACTCGGTGCGCCTAGTGGCTGCAAGAGTTGTATACTCCCCAGGGAGATTGATAATGCGATGTGCCGTTGAGATTGACATCCAATGATCGAGGGAAAAAATACCAGCTCCTTGAGCATGCACTAGTGCGTGGATATGTGTGCTATATAAATATCCTATAATAAAATAATATCTGTCTGAATCCTGGTAAGACTATACAGGGTTGAAAGCAGCATTGTTGGTGCCACAGTACATGGTTGGATACAGGAAACAATACCACAGGACTTTAAGGTGTTGAATATCACTGCGTTCTGTGTTCTTCAGTTCTGACTTAAGCATTTTTCAGCCTCTTCTAGATAAGCACATTAAAGTTAAAGCTGAATGTAAGAACTAACCCACTGATGGTATGATAATATTATAGACTGTATTATAAATATATATATGAATTATAATATCTGGTCACCTGTAAAGATCGGTGTTAGAATGTATCTTCAGCAACCCATGCTGATTGTACGTGGGACTAACGGGATGAGGCGATCAGGCTTGCTGACATGGTTGACATGCTAGTATGTCATTGCATCTCAATTGCCTATGTGATCATGCTGTTGATCACTGGAAGGTATGGTTCAACAGCATCAGAATTGATCTGCACAATTGGAATATGGCATGTGTCATCCAAGTCAGCGAGCCTGACCATCCATGTTTGTCGCCTCTTACGACAAGCATGCTTTTGCGTAGATCGATGCTCATGCTGTTGATCACTGCATTGTCTGGTCAAGATTTGACTATTTACAAATTGCAGCCATATAACTGGAATATTGCTGAGTGTGGCATTAAACTACGAACTTGATATCTGGTTGTATAAGTGCTTCTCCGTGGTAAGACTGTGTTGTATATGGAGGTAATAGCCTACCCAGAAACTTGTCTACATTGTTCTTTTACTTTCAGGAGGAAGCCAAGTACAAGGCAGCACACGAGATCAACACGTACAAGAAGATCGCGGAGCGTGCAGAAAACAGACTGGTATGTATCTGCAAGGACAGCATGTTTATTGGCTTTAAAATTTGAGAGGCCGATTTAAAAGGGAAAGTATTGATTTAGTGATGAAATATTGTACTTTTCTTAAAATATAGAATGGATATCTGACTTGAATGAAATATGGATTCTTGGGCAGAGAAAGTCCCCAGTAGGGCCAGTACATCTTGCTTGTCTCCTTGTTAGGACTTGGTAGAGTGCGTCCTCAATGTCTTGTCCATATCTTTCTTTGTGGGCAGAGTATGTCCCCAGTATCCCATTTGATTTTCTTTGTGGTGATTCCAGAACAGAATAAGGCAAAATTTCCACATACTTGTTTCAAGCACCAATGCAAGAGGGGATAGGTAAATGATTGTCTGACCTTGGTCCAATCCACAAAACGTTCGTAGCGCTATGACATTCATTCATTCATTCATGAGTGAGTTTAGTTTTACGCCACACTCAGCAATATTCAAGCTGTATGGCGGTGGTCTGTAAATTATCAAGTCTGGACCAGACAATCCAGGGATCAACAGCATGAACATCGGTCTACGCAATTGGGATACAATGACATGTGTCAACCCAGTAAGCGAGCCTGACCACCCGATCCCGTTAGTCGCCTCTTACGACATGCGTGGGTTACTGAAGATCAATTCTATCCCGGACATTCACCGGTCTATGACATTCATGAGCCAATGATAAACTATGGGGTTACAACAACTCACACAAGTTGTAACGTTACGAATGTTTTGTGGATCTGGACCCTGGCCCGTTGGAGTGAGTTTGATTTTACGCCGCTTTTAGCAATATTCCAGCAATATTATGGCGGGGGACACCAGAAATGGGCTTCACACATTATACCCATGTGGGGAATCGAACCCGGGCCTTCGGCGTGACGAGCGAACGCTTTACCCACTAAGCTACCCCACCGCCCCTGGCCCATTGGATGTCATCACACTTGAAGGAATTGACTGTTGATCATGGAATAAAAAGCCAAGACAAGATTATTTACAAACATTGTTATGATATCGTGTTATAATCATCAGAGCTAGTGATAACATTTTGAGTCATTGAGTTATGTACTCGCTTGTGTTCATCTCAACTGGGTATCCTAATTTTCCTTTGAGTAACCAAATATATTGTACCCACCTCATTCCAACTCAATTGGGTATTTTGCCATTTTCCATTAATTGTAAAAATATAATAAAGTTTAAATGTTGGTTTACATGTTTGTTATTCATATTTGATCTGTAATATTAGAAACGATAAGAGGGGACTGCAAGTTGTCAAGTTGAAATAGAACCTCTCAGTATACCTCTGCTATTTCATCTAACCACCGGTATGTAAGCTAAAATGTGACATTTATGTGTGTACGCATGTAAGATCAAACTTATTAAGTAGTTACAAAACTTCATGCGTGCTTGTACGAAATATACTTAATAGGAATTGAGTTTTCATATAAATATTTGCGTAATTTACGCAGATACGCAGCTTATCTGTACCTCTGAATCATTCATTTACTCCAGGTTTCTGATGTTAATTTTACTTTTCAGAATCAGCTACAAGGCTTGATACAAGGAGCTAAAGTTTCTGGTGATGGGACGATTAAGGTTAGTTTTTAATGTAATGATTTTATCATTTATGCCATTGTAGCTGCCAACTTATACTCTACAACACATTGGGACATATCGTTAGGGACATGCTTTAGGAGTGAGTGAGTTTAGTTTTATGCCACACTCAGCAATATTCCAGCTATCAGGCGGCGGTCTATAAATAGTCAAGTTTGGACCAGACAATCCAGTGATCAACAGCATGAGCATTGATCTATGCAAATTGGATACGATGACATGTGTTAGCCAAGTCAGTGAGTGTGACCACCCGATCCCGTTAGTCGCCTCTTACGACTAACATCAGTTTACTGAAGATCAATTCTAACCCGGATCTTCACGGGTCACACATTGTAGGAACACATCATAGGGATTCAGTGTTATGTCCCATGTTTGACTGGATGCTGTCTTGGCTGGTCACTGTGCCCCGATGATGTGGGTTATTCATTATGCTTCAAGTCATGTTTGTCTCATCCAGACCTGACTATTGACTGACTGGCAGATATAGCTGCAGCATGGTGACTTGGCGTCTAACAACATTCACTGACTCTCACTGTCCGTGAACATTCATTGTCTGTGAAGTAATTATTGTTAACATACATATTCATAATAATTGGCTTCCATATATATTTGCGTTGATGTAATTATAAACATGAAAATGGTGTGCTTCACAGATCTCCATAGAAAGCTCATGCCTTCTTTTTTTTTAAGCATTGGTTCATCACGCCAAAGGCCCGGGTTCGATTCCCCACATGGGTACAATATGTGAAGCCCATTTCTGGTGTCCCCCGCCGTTATATTGCTGGAATATTGCTAAAAGTGGCGTAAACCCATACTCACTCACTCACTCATGGCTTTTTAACATTTAAAACGCCAGACATCCATAGACACAAAAGTACTGATTCTTTTTCAGAAGAAGTCCTCCTTGGGGTACATATAAGCATTAAAATGTCCATTTTAAATCCTACGACAGTTGTAACTATATTTTTAATAAAATATTTACAAAACAAAAAACTCGTTTTGTCTTGTGAGACCAATTCCCTACAGGGCCCCACCAAAAGGACCAACATACACACAGCCAAGAGCAGGTAACTCTCGCCGTCCACCTACGTGACCAACCTCACTTTTCATGCTGTCGAGTTCTGTTGAATAGACGTGCGTGGTGTTCAAGCTTTAGAGTTTGCTCTCCTACCGATAATGATGAGTGTAAAAGAGTCTCAATCTGTATGTATGGTTCCTTTTCTCTACGCGACGGCGTTAGATGGGCGTCATATGTGGATATTTTCATTCATCTTTTGTTGTAACTTTGCCGTGGGTCTCTGTTTTCCAGCCATGTGGCAGGCAAAATGGCGGACAGCGATCGTGGGTTTCCTTGCTATATGTTATTGGTAGCTTGTAGTAGGGAGTTCATATATTATGTTTGCATATTATATGGTAGGCTTGCCTAAATTCTCTTTCTTTCAGCGAATTTGTGGTAAGTCGTTGTTGAGTATTTTGATAGTGTTCGCTTTCGTATCACTCAACTTTACTCTATCACTAGTACACGCAGGGGTGGCTAGCCTTTTTCTGCTTTGCATTGTATGTTTAGTATTTAAATGGCTGTAGCTTGTAGCATTTATATATCGCCACGTCGCGGATTATTCTTGCTATTACTTGTGTTTATGTGTTTGCTGCTTCACAGTTCCTGCTAGTAACACTGGCGTGGTTCTGTTTGTTGCAGTTTAAGCCCTGTCGCGTTGTGCCATGCACACTACCGCCACAGGATGGTTATATAGTGTGCCTTCAGTGTTTAGCCGAGGGGGCGCCAATGACGATCAAGGATGCTCATAATAAACGCCCTTAAGCGCCAATATTCCTGTTACATTATGTTGTATTATGATACATATTTCATACGCGTTTACAACAACGTGGCTCATAGGCCGAGGTTGTGGTTTTGTCTGGGTTTCTGCGCCCGCAGCGCATTCTTTCCGACACGCCCAGATTTTATGTTTTCACTAATCTGCTTCAGGCGGGATAATATTTGATAAAAGATTTCTAAGGAAATCCCTTTATCGTTTCCCCGCAAAACAATGTTGCTGACTTAAATATGACTTCACTATTGCAGCAACATATTCTTCAACATAATGTCAATTCGATGATTGATAGCGCGATGTCAGCTCCAACCCGGAAGGGAGCTCGGCTCAAAGTGTTGATCTCGAAGGTAAGTTCACCAGGTGTCGCCTGTGGTGAAATTCCCCCGATTGACACGCGGTGCTGTCTGGGTTCCGAAGGAGCTCAGCACGCCTGTCGCCGGGGTGGATCGACGCATCTGGGGGTTGGCTGCGCCCGAGCTCTGGCTCGGAGAACGCCAGCCTCCCCAGGCAGCTTGATCCTGGCTTCGCTCAGGTGATGGTGTGCCTTCGGCACCTTGTGGCGACCTAGCTCGGGCTCAGGTTTGGATCACGGTAGCCTGGCCCGGCGATGCAGGTTTTGCCCTGTCTGCTTCTGGTGCCCTGACTGGCGGTCGCCAGGGCGCAGACCAGCTCGGGACACCTCCGCGCTTCGCACCTTTGTGGCAACCTAGCCGGGCTCAGGTTAGATCACCGGCTTCTGGCGCCCGGCGATGCAGGTTTTGCCCTGCAGGTTTTGCCCTGGTGCCCTGACTGGCGGTCGCCAGGCGCCGACCAGCTCGAGGGACACCTCGCCACGTGGTCAGTCGGGGTTGCCGGGAAACCTGTATATCGGCAGGTTCCTCTCGGCGGTCTCTGTTCCACTGAGCTGCCGATCACCTCGGCGCCCTAGGTCTACCTGTGTCCACCAGGGGCAACCTGCATTGCCAGGCTACTCCCTTGTGTCGGGACTGCAGATCGGACTAGCACCGACCTGGGCTTCGCCCCGTACGGAGCAGATCCCCGGGCTGTTAGCTCAGGTCTCGCCTGATGTCTATCGATGCCCTGGCCAAGAGGCCGCTGAGTGTGATGAGCTGCCGATCACCTCGGACGCCGAGGTTCTACCCGTGTACACCAGGGGAGCCCTGCATTGTCAGGCCACTCCCATGTGTTGGGGATCGGGTTCGAACTCGAACCGCCGAAATTCTACGATACATACATGTGTATGTATGGGTATTTATATAGCGCTATAGGCTATGTTTGACTATACTCAGTGCGCTTTTGAGTAAGTACTTCGGGAAACCTGATTTATCAGGCTACTCCTATGTCCCGGATCGGGTTCGGTCTAGAACAGCTGAGCTTCGCTCTCGCGGATTCTCTGAACCCGTGGGTAGCGCCGACTCCAGGCTTTCGCACTGGTAGGGCGCAGATTCCCGACCGGTAGTTCAGGTCTCGGCCGGTAGTTCAGGTCTCGCCTGATGTCTATCGATATTATTGACCTAGATGCCATCGAAGGTGTGCCGGGTGTGACTGTCACCTCGCCCGCTCCGAGGTCTGTCTGAGTGCTTGTGAAACCTTGATTGTCAGGCTTCTCACATGTGCCTCGAATCGGGTTCAGGCTCATTACAGTGGACAAGTCGATTTGAGCTTCGGCTCATTTCGCTACTTTGAACTTACCACTAAGTAGGATCGTCCCTGAGGGCAAGTGCGCGAGATAGAATCGCTGCTGTGTTGCCTCAGGTGTTGTCCATGTCGACTACCCGAACCGTTGGAGTTCGCCTCCGAGGGAAGCCTGCTTCCAGCATCGCATCCGCACAAGGCCTCACACACTCTCCCTTAAGTCTGCCCGTTCTTTCCCCTTCACAGCTCAACGCTGTATGCTCCACTGGCGCATCTCTCAGCTGCTGAGGAGCTGGTGGAAAGGGAGAGAGCCGGTGGAATTTTTTTTTTTTCGCCGGGCGACTCTGGGCGGCATCTGGCGGGGCAACTCTCATCTGGCTAGGGACTGCATTGTAGCTGTGCCAGTCAAATGATGAGGGCGGTTATGGGCATATCGCCGGGACAGTTTTCGAGGAATCTGGAAGTCTGTTGAGCTTCGTTACTTCCTCAGGTGCCCAGGCATCGGCAAACGTTAAGTTGCCGACTGCTGGGGTTACTATATTCTGCCGCAAACACCGGCGGAGCGACACACTCCTGTGTCGGCTTCCCGGGAGAAGGCGACAATACTCCGTGCCCAGATCCAGTCTTTGCTGGGCTAGACAACCAGTGTGGTGGTTTCCAATGGTCAGGAATATGTGGGGTTTGACACCACTTATTTCATAGTTGCCATTACGAACGGAATGTTCAGACCCATTCTCATCTGAGAGCAAGTTTATAGAGGTACTGTCCTTCAAGATGGAGACACCGCGCTCGGTGATCTCATCTGCCGAGACAGGGGATTGGCGACGCCAATCAATGCGACCTGCGGTCGCGATACCTCCTTGTTCCATTGCACCCTGATTTCAAGATTTACCTTCGGTTTCTTGTTTGACGGGACGTGCTACCAGTTTCGTGTGCTCTCCTTAGGCTACATTACGGTGCCAAGGGTGTTCACCAAATTGAGGTTTATTACAGCTCAGATAGCCAGATCGCAGTGCCGGTGTTGTCACCGCGCATAGGCGACTGACTCATCGTGGTTTCAGATAACTGTTGAGTCTCGGGGACCTCACGATCGATCAGTTACTTAAACTGGGCGGAATTGTCAACCTCACGCAGTCAGATGGACAGACGTCAGGCGTCTCTCCGAGGGTCCCCACCCCTGGAGACACCGTCGCTCTCAGTCCAGCCAGATACATCCCTACCGGGTTAGGGCGATGTTCTGGGTGACCTGCAGCCTCTTGAGATGAAGTCACAACCTGCACATCAATGTGCTGGAATTGACAGCAGTCAGGTTGGTGTTCGATCCCGCACACCGGGATTCGAATTACCTCTTCGGCCAGACATTCTCACTCTGCACGGGGCGCCACACCCGAATCCTCGGATTCACTGGGTGGCTTGGCCTCTGTCGGGTATAACACACGGATTCTTTTTCAGAGAGATCGTCCTTGGGGTACATATTATGCATTTTCCGGCAGAAAAATGTCCTGTGACAGTTGT